ATTCTCAGCTTGGTCGTTGCTGGTGTATAGCAGCACTGCTGAGGTGCTGAGGTTACAACATCAATGTAGTGAGATTTTTAAAATCTCATTTAGTGAGATTTTACTAAAATCATTTAACAAATCTAGGAGTCTTTTGGTGGAGTCTTTAGGGTTTTCTAGATATATGATCATATCATCAGTAAACAGTGATGCTTTGACCTCCTCTTTTCTAATTTGGATGACTTTTATTTCTTTCTCTTGCCTGATTGCTGTCGTTGGGACTTCCAGCACTACATTGAATGGAAATGGTGAAAGTAGGCATCCTTGTCTTGTTTCAGTTCTCAGGGGGAATGCTTTCCAGTTTTTCCCATTCCGTTTGTTGTTGGCTGTGGTTTTGCCATGTAAGACTTTTATTATGTTAAGGTATATTTATTCTATGCTTAGTTTGTTGAGACTTTCTTTTATCATAAAGGATGCTGGATTTTATAGAATGCTTTTTCTGTATCTATGGAGATGATCATATGATTTTTGCTTTTAATTCTGTTCATGTGATTAATCACAGTTATTGACTTGCATATGTTGAACCATCCCTGCATCCCTGGGATAAACCCCACTTAACAATTGTGTATAATCCTTCTGATGTGCTGTTGGATTTGGTTAGCTAGCATTTTGTTGAGGATCTTTGCATCTATGTTCATCAAGTGTGTTGGTCTGTAGTTTTCGTATGTTGTTATGTCCTTTCCTGGTTTTGTTATCAGAGTGATACTGAATTCATAAACTGAGTCAGTTAGAGAATAGGCCCTCTTTCTCAATCTTTTGGACTACTTTCAGTAGGATTGGTGCCAATTATTTTTGGAATGTCTGGTAGAATTTGACTGTGAATTGATCTGGCCCTGGACTTTTTGTTGTTGTTGTTGCCAATTTATTTATTACTGATTCAATCTCACTGCTTGTTATTGGTCCTGTTTCAAGCTAGGAGAGTTTATGTTTCCAAGAATATACCCATTTCCTCATTTCCTTAAGACCTTCTATGTGGCCTGGATTGCCAGATTCCCTGGTGGGACTGTATATCCTGGAGGCACTTTATCCCTCTCTCACACTCTGAGGACTTACAGTTGTCCACCTGGCTCGTGATGTAGGCTGCAGCCTGATGCTTCTTTCAAAGCGTGATTTCTTTCAGTTTTCCTATGAAGTTCCTGTGTCACTTCTTGGAAAAAACTTCACTGTGTGAATCTTTACACACGAATTTGTTTTTCCAAGTGGGAGAAGCATGCTAACAATACATCCAATCCACCATCTCAGGAAAAATAAAATAAATAAACTGTCTTTTCTATAATCCCCATTTCAACGGGGATGAGGTGTTATCTCACTGTGCTTTTAATTTACATTTCCCAGATGGTTAGTAATGTTGAACAACTCTTCATATACCTATTGGTATGTCTTCTTTTGAGGAATGCTATGCAAATCATTTGTCTATTTTTCTTTAAATTATTTATGGGCTTCCTTTGCTATTTAGTTGTTCGAGTTCCTCATATGGTCTGACTATTAATCCTCTGTCAGACTGAAAATGTGAAAATTTTTGTTCTCATTCCGTAGGTTGTCTCTTCACTTTGTTGATTGATTTCTTTGCTCTGAAGAAGCTTTTTAGTTTGATTTAACTCCATCCATCTATTTTACCTTTGTTGCTTATGCTGTTGAGTTCTTATCAAAAAACTTATTGCCTGTATCAGTTTCCTCAAGCATTTCCCCAATGTTTTCTTCAAGTAATTCACAGTTTCAGGATTTTGCATTTAAGTCTTTAATCCATTTTGATTTGATTTTTGAATATGGTAAGAGCTAAGACTCTAGTTTCATTTTCTGCATGTACACATCCAGTTCTCTCACCATCATTTATTGAAGTTGTGCAGATTCAATAAATTTATTGAAGTTGTGCATCATTTATTGAAGTTGTACAAATTCAAGACTTACTGTAAAGTTACAGTAATCAAGATATTGTGGTACTAGTAAAAGAAAAGACAAATACGTCAATGGACCAGAATATAAATCGCAGAAAATAGACCCTATAATATAGGCAACTGATCTTTCACAAAAGTACAAAGGAAGTACAATGGCACTAAACAAGAAAATATAATGTATTTGTAGATAAGAATCAAGGACAAGGCAACTGAGTGTAACAAGGGAGGGATATGAGCTGGAGAGAAGATTTGACAAGTCAGCAGAGTGCAGTGGTGCAGGATTCCTTAGACTATGAACGGAGGTCAATGTTTGTAGCAGGACATCATTTTAAAACATTAACTGAAGCTTCTTTTCTTCTCCTACCACCTTGAACTTTCAGGTGCCCGCAACCAGTCTTGGAAAAAATTGCCTTCTAAGTGCACAGTCCTCTAAAAGGCAAGAGATTATTCAAGGAGCACAGATATCAGAATTTTTGCCTATGAGTTCCAAGACAGTCTTTAAAGTCATGGTAGGAAAAAAAA